TTAGTGTTTTTTTTTTCCAGGATTTGTTTTCCGTGCTGAGCACCAATGCTACCGACGCCAGGGAGGCAGCTCCCACACCTGGACCCTATCTATCGACCCATCAACTCATGAACCGGGGACCAACGGCTTTACTTCCCTTCAGAAGAAACCCGTGATCAGAGATGTTATGTCTCAGAACATCCCGGCGGCGCCGGCTGGGATTGAACCCAGGCTTGTTAGGGTGACAGGTAATCACGCTTACCACTACACCACCGGTTCCGCTTTGTATTCAGAATTTTATTGCGATTCTTGGATTTTAAGAGAAATTTCCAGAACTTCAGGGAAGATCGCTGATCTTTAAAGATATTTGCACAACTTCAGAAAAATTAGTAGATCTTATGAGAGCTTCCTCAAACATCCGGGAAGCTCAAAAATTTCTAGATAAACTTTTAATACTTTAGGGAATTGTGTAGATGATCAGAGATATTTGCAGACATTCATTGAATCATGAAAATCTACAGAGAAAATTACAGAACTTTTGAGAAGAAATTTAGTGAACATCAGAGATAATTATTGATCTTCAAGGATCTTAAATCTGCAGGGATTCAGGAACGTTGTAGATTTTTAGAAAAATTTGCAGGACTTCTGAAGAACACACAGAACTTCAAAGAAATCCGCAGAACTACCGAAAAATTTGCAGATCTTCAGGAAAGTTTGTTGATCTTTATAGATATTTTATGAGAGAACATATACAAAACTCAACGGCGCCGGTGGTGTAGTGGTAAGCGTGATTACCTCTCACCCCAGCACGCCTGGGTTCAATCCCAGTCGGCGCCACCGGGATGTTCTGAGGCATAACATCTCTGATCACGCCTTCCTTCGGGTGGGAAGTAAAGCCGTTAGTCCCCGGTTCATGAGTTGATGGGTCGATAGGTAGGGTCCAGGTGTGGGAGCTGCCTTCCTGGTACGTCGGTAGCATTGGTGCTCAGCACGGAAAACAAGATCGACGGAAAAAACAAACCAAAGGAAAAAAAAAGAAACAAAACTTCAGGGACGTCCGAAGGTCTTCAGAGAAATATGCAGAATGGAGTACTTAACAGAAGTTTTCAGAACACCCCAGCCTGGGTTCACTCCTAGTCGGTGCCGCCGGGATGTTCTGAGGCATAACATCTCTGATCACGCCTTTCTTCGGAAAGGAAGTAAAGCCGTTGGTCCCCGGTTCATGAGTTGATGGGTCGATAGGTAGGGCCCAGGTATGAGAGCTGCCACCCTTGCGTCGGTAGCATTGGTGCTCAGCACGGAAAACAAGATAGCCGTCCGTCAACCCCATACAGACAAAAGCCGAATTGCCAGGAGTATTGCCGTTTACTAAAAAACCACCATCAGTAAGATGCATAAAAGACGTAGCATTTTAGGGTGACCATACATGAAGCAAAATACGGTCTCGGAAGGGGATACAAACACCGACGGACGTGACAGCTACATAGAAGCTGCATTCAAATTCTTGCCCAAGACGCCATATTTAAAATTCATTAAACACTACCGCCATCTACTCATCCGATCGCGTCATATCGTGAGCAAGGACACGAACACATGTAAAATTTATATTGTCTTGGTTTGCGTCTCCCCTCGTTTGACAGATCTGATCACCCGTTTGACAGATCTAATCGCTCATTTGACAAATCGAATTGCGGACAAACGAAATGATCCTGTGGCATGTCGGTTCGTCGGTGTTACAAACTTGGTGCTTCATGAAACATAAACAAACGATAAACGTTTATTTAAGTTTGATGAAGCACCAACTTTTGACCTGTCCTTTGGCTGTTCACCCTAAAATCGAAGACAACATATAAAGAAGACTAGTGACTAGCGCTGTGCTCGAGCGAAGGTGGAAGCAACGCATAGAAAAATGAGCAAATGCACAAACCCTTCTTCTGAGGATGGAACCTTTGCTATCCAATTAACCACTTCATTCGAGCAGTTAAAATAACGTTTACTACCACTCGAACTTTGAAATAAAACATTATTTTAAGATTTTTTTCTTCTTGAACCTAAAAGTAGCCAACATTTGTGCGTTTCATAAAAAAATAGAAATTAGTTGGTCCAGTTTTGTGAAATCGCTGGTAGAAAGTCACGCCAAAACTGCATGACAAAGTGGTCAATTCGTTCGGAGCATTTGTCTTTGAGCGGCAGATGACGCGATTGTACCTGTCTCATGCCGGTCGTTTGAGAAAATGGAAGAGTTGCCAGTCTTCTTGATATGTTGTCTTCGCTAAAATACTACGGCTTTTGTGCATCTTCCCATAGTTTTAGTAAAAATTTCCTCGAATATGATGATGTAAATGTCACTCATATTCGAGCATAAATCTGCTCGAATGAACAAAAGTGAGGAAAATTCTACTCAGTTTCCGGAAAAAAAAATAGAGGGAAACAAATTTCAAAACATTTACTAAAATTGATGTCCATAAATTTTAAAGTGTCCATTGTGTCCAGTATCAGAAACTTAAGCATTTTTTTAAAAAGCTTATAAACATAAACATAAGTTTAAATACGTTAATTTTTTTTATTATTATTATAACATATAGTCACTTGGGTTATTCGTGACTTGTCTGGGGGTGAGATTTGAACTCGTGACTTTGGCGTGAGAGGTATGGATTCGAACCACTACACCAGAGTCGCCCCCTAGAAATTTGTTTTAAATTTTTTGACCAAGATGTTTACAGTGTGTATTTTTTTCCTGAAACCAGATTCAATTAACTTTGTCTCCGACGTTATTGCGATTAGATGAGCCGTTTTTGTGCTATGATATCGAATAAACTATTTCGAAAAATTAGGCGCAAATCAAAATAGCCCACTGGGAGGGAGAAGCAGACTCGACAAATATGAACGTCAAACGGAGCCCGAATTAAGCTTTCACGGACTGTCATTAGGAAACAAGTAGTTTGGTGATACCTTTCTTACAGTTGAACCCGAATACACAAGGCTGTATTGAAATCTTGCGTAAAGTAATGTATTACAAAATGTCGTTTCAAACTATCTTATTCAATGGGCACTAGAGTGATGCAAAATTTGAAATTTTCGCTCCACAATACTCAAACGATTCCAAATCGGATCCTGACTAACCTCTCAAAATTTGAACCCATTTGGTGAGAAACTGAGATGGCACAAACTATTTGAAGTTTGTATGGGAATTACTATGGTAAAACCAAGATTTTTGTTCATGTCTATCTAATAATTCACCATATCTGTCTGCTTCAAAAGCTTTCAACTGTAGGAAATTTTGCCAGCTACAACTTTGCTGAAGACCACTTTTTGATTAAATGCAAGGATCGAAAGTTATCAATGGTTCAATGCGCTGATGTCTTCTGATCATGCTCAATCAACTGCTCAGCAGGCAACATTGGTGTTTCTGGGGCGTTGAATAGAGCTTTTTGACGTTTAATCGGCGCACACTACTGCACTATTTAAATCGAACGAGTACGGGCAAGAGGGAAACAGATTAGTGGGAAAACAAACCGTCCATTCATTTATGTGTGCTAGATAGAGAAAGACGATTGAACGTCAAAAAGGTCTATAGGACACAAAAATCATGGCTACTATGCCACACTGCAAAATACAGTGTTGCCTACAGAGCAGCTGCTTGATCATGTCATAAGTTTACCAATCTCTTAAATAATTAATAACTTTTTCCTGTCTCGTTTTACACAGAAACGATCTTCAGCAAAGTTGTAGCTGAGAAAAATTTTCTATAATAATGGCTATCGAACTGTTTTGCAGCTTAATATGAAGAAAAAAACTAGAAGGCAATGAACAAAAAGTTGAGATTTCCCATAGTAATTTACATGACTTGTGCGAAGTCTGTTTCTAACCAAATGAGTTGTAACTTTGGGTAGCTGATCAGGACCCGATTTGAAACCATTTAAGCACTGTGGAGCGAAAAAGTAAAATCTTGCATCAGTCTAATGGGCACCTTTTTAAATTCATTAATTAAATATACAAATATTGAAAGATACCATTAACAAATATTTTTGTCAAAATATTTAGTTGCATAATAAAATACAGAACAGAAAAGTACATTTTCTCTCTGCACACTGAATAATCTCAAACACACTCAAGGCAAAAGAGGCTATTTTGGCACGCTTATTTTGATTTGATTTCAATGGCACTAATTTATATGACAATAAGAACAGCAATTAAATTAATTCCGTGTGTGCTATCTGCTTCTCCCTCCAAGGTTGCCCATAGCGAATAATTATGCAAATTTCATGGAATTCTAAGATTCGACGTTTTTTTTCACTATTTGGTGTGGATATACTCCCCTTTAAATTGAAAAGGTGGATTAGCAGGCGCATTCGTTACTTGATTATCCGGAACAAAATAGATAATTTGAACATCCCTAAATAGATATATGTATAGGAAAATATTACTAATCAAGTTCAAACTGTTTTTTTGTTACTTCATACCTGAAGTTTACGATTTTCAGAGTTGGTTGCAAATGCTATCTAATATCAACATGAAGCTTTAGTAGTACTGTCACATTAACGACCCTACGCTCATTTTCAACTTTTATTCTATTTTTACTCTACCGTACTCTAACGGAACTATCAACCTACCCTCTTCAGAACTTTATCTAGCTATTAAATTATCACACTAAAACTTCATGTTGGTATTAGATAGCATTTCCAACCAACTCTTACTAATAATGGTTTCCTGTGAACAAATCTGGTATTTCAAAATACAATGTAATCAAATTCGTCAATGAAATGCGTGTTCTGCTAATATAATAGCCACTTCAATAATTCACCTAGAAACAATCTTTGAAACTCGCTAATCATAAATGCATTTTTTGTTCGTCTGCTGTCCGTATATAATCTTCACGGAAGTTTTGGCATTCGTTTGATAATAGGTTCATCAAAGGAAATTATTATTTTTTTCCTATGTGTACTTCAAATCCTCTCGCTTTGAATGAGACAGCAGTATAAATCTATCACCAGAAAAAAAAGTCCATCCTTGCTACTTACTCTGGTGGTAATGTTGCTTTTGCTTTCATTATCGGCATACTGGTCGTCTGTGTTAATTGTCATGATGCTGGGGACTCTTATCTATGTTTTACTGCGCTTTCCTTGGTAGAATCTTCCTTCGCCGCTATGAGTGTATGTATGTGTGGAGATTTATTCTCAAATCTGTGAATGGTGAGACGATAAGAAGCAGATTGTTAGAACCGGTGGAATTTCTTGTACGGGTCAGTAAAGCGTGTTTCAATTGGCTTGATAAATGTTAGCCAATCGAAAATTCGATGATGCAAGTAATGTTTTGCGGTTGGTTTAGCTCGAAATTTGTTCCGGTCGTTTTCAGAATCTTGAATTGAAATGACTTCAAACGTCACTGAATTACTGTAATAATTAATCCTGTTAGTTATACTCTGATTCGTATCTATTACAGTGATTCATTACATGACTTTTTCGGGTCACTAGGGCGTCAATATTTACACATCATTTTATAGTGTCTATTATTGCAAAACAAATATGCGTTACTGATCGAATAATTGATTCCCAGCAATGTCTATCGAACAGTTCTTATCATGACAAGTCCTAACAAAGTTAACACTTCTACTTATCGTTTGCGAATGAGTTGCAGCAAGTAGACTGGAAATTTTGCATTCATCCTATTGTCAGAAAGCATCCCGATCATGTTTTCGGTCCATTGGTAATGATTACTTAGTTAGTTACTTATCTATGAAGTGCAGGGTTGTTAAGGACGTAAACGTCTTCAATGCAAATGTCCAAGTCAAACAGTAACCAGATCAGCTCAGCTACATTGTAGTTCTATTTACAGATGGATTAGAACTTGGATTATTATTCCTACTGGAAAATATACATATAGATAGCCAAATGAGCGGTGTGAATTTGATAGGAAATACGTTTCACATTTTCGAAAGAAATGGTCAATACTTGTAAATTAACAGGACTGCTCCAACTCGGTATAACATTTGCACTCTCCAGTTTCTGGAGGACTTTGAGAGCACTACAACTATTATCTATTAAACACTTTCTAAGCCAAATATTAGAGTACGGTGAAGCAATAGGCCGTTTAAGGTTTTCGAAGCCTGTGAAACATAAAACTCAATGTTTTGACACTTGTTTGGAAGGTATTTTAGAGCCAAAACTTTCCCCCGAAAATTCCCAAAAATTGATGATGTTTTCGAAAAGTTATTGGCAAAAGTTTGTTTCGAGATTGCTTGCTTTAACTCGACAGTATGACTAAATAGATGTTTGCTGTCCTCAGTAAAGCTTTTCCGAATAACAAGACCTCACCATCACTCAACACTAGTGCCATTAGTTTAATTTTAAATTTAGATTCTAATGACTTGCTTAAGTTTACATCCCGGCTAGATAGAAGGTAGTTGTCTTCAGTTTGTTCAAATTAATAAGACCTATTGTAGAGTGGACAGCTCAGTTCAGAATTTTCACACCAGACGGCGGGAGTGATTATTTGCTTTAACTTGATAACTGAACTAGATAGAAGATTGCTACTTTTGGCAAAGTTATTCAGATAGACAAGGCCTCCTTTAGCTCAGTCGGTAAAGGCGCAGCTACAAAGCAAGACCATGCTGGAGGTGGCTGGGTTCAATTCCCGGTCCAGTCTAGGAGTTTTTCGGGTTGGAAAATTTCTCGACTTCCCTGGGGCATAAAGTATGTTTGTACTTGCCACACAATTATACCAATGCAAAAATGGTACAGGCATCGAAAGCTCTCAATTAATAACTGTGGAAGTGCATCTATAACACTAAGTTGAGAGCACGCAATAAGCTAATATGCGATATGCAATAAGCTTGAAATGCGAGGAAGAAGAAGAAGGCCTAATGGATGGTGCAAAGTTTAGTTCAGAATTCGGTCATCTGGGATGTAAGTGTCCTATGAAATAATAATTGTTTAATTCGATTTTTTTCAAAGTTTAATAACTCACAACTGCAATTTTGCGTTTGTCTTCAACTTTTATTACATTTACCATTTTGGGACTGCATGAAATGGAGACTACATAAATGTACCGTACTGTCATTGTAACATCTTGACTTGTCAGTATACGATATACAACTTTCATGGCATACATCAGCGCAAGCAAGGCGGACAAAAAATAAAAGTTATCAAAATGATGCCATAATGCTTATAAATTTAAATATAGCTCTATATCTTGTGTTAACGAAATAGATAAGTTCATAATATCATTAAAAAAACAATTAAATTTACTTTAAATTTATTAAATTACAGCCTTCACTAATTGATAAATGTATTTGAACACAGATTAAATACAAACTCAAATCGGTGCAGTTTCGAGCGCCTTTGGATACGGTTGTGTTTTAAGATTTTTCTCTGTTTTGTGCGTGCGTTCGCTTTCATAGTTTTCGGCTACATTTGCCGGATTAGCGATGGCGCTCTACCTCCCGGACGTTTATACGTGTGTGATTGGTAGTTTTCTCGCTTTCCAGGACGTTTCAGAATAGAGAAAGAAAACGTGATTCAACATGTTTGCAAGCATCAGAAGAGATGTCGCAATTTGCGTTGTTTGATTTTCTCCTGGACCAGAAATTATTTACGCGCTGCAAGGTGCTTGAATAAGCTCGGCACAATCGGTGTTGATGTTGGCTCGCTTGTAACTTATTTTTGTGTTTTCGAAAGAAATTGAACGAAAGTGTACCAAAAGTGCTTCTTAACGTGTTTCGCAGTTGGGTGTGGTAAAATTCGTGAATTCGCGGTTTATGTTCAGTGAAAATTCCGTATCACAGAATTGCTCACCGTGTTCCCTTTTTTTTGTCATTCGACGACGACGGGTTTGCGAGAGAAAAATAACAATCGGGAATGTGCTCCCGGATGTATTGATTTGATGAGTACGTTCCAGTTGAAGATTGTTCTTATACATATCTCGATTGCATTTGCGAGTGAACGTCCGGAGAGCTTTGAGATTTAGGAGTTGTTGCTTCAGCGGGCAGACGCGTTGGTCGCCGGTAAGGGCCAGTAAGTGCTGCCAGCAGATGAATCAAGAGGTATTCGAAACAAAATTGATAAGAAATGTCCATTCAAATCGATTTAATACAGTTGAACAAATTTCAAAACTATATACGTGCCAGATTTGGAAATAATATTTTTTGAATCTGGAAGTGTGTTTAGGATACCATTATCCATTTGATAAAGGTAGAGTAAATTATTATTATTGTAAGTAAAAGTGACCTCGGAGTGGTCGTGAATTACCAGGCATTCTGAAATGGGTCACTGGAGCTGCAATAGAGCTAACACCTTCTAACTCCCGGACTAAACCTGCTTTAATTTAAGGGTAATAAAAAGCAGTTTTCTTCCATAATAACACTGCCGGACAGTGGGGGTTAGATTGTAAACACACACACACACACACACACACACACACACACACACACACACACACACACACACACACACACACACACACACACACACCACACAGATTAAATACAAACTCAAATGAGATTCAGTTTATCATAATTCAAGCTGAACAATGCATTGGCTCCTAATTAACATTGACAGATTCACTTCGTCGACTTTGTCTTTACATCCTCACGGCCATTGTCAGACATTCCCAGCTATTTTCAGCACACAGATCGATGAAAGAAGCTATTATCTAGCTTCTGATACGACAAACACGACATGAAACGGTTATGTCCCTAAGTTATTATTGCAAGAGAAAATTGATGAAGATAATCGATCAATGTGAACCCAAGATATATTGTTCTACACCCAACTAGAGGATGTAATATCTTGTACAGACATACAAAGTTCACTGTTGTACTACCGTTGTACTGCTTTAAGCTAGTACCACAAATTGTACTTTTGGAGGTACTAGATTAAAGGAGTACAATTGTACTAATTTGTATGTCTGTCTGTGGTATAAGATATCGACAGTGAGCATGCATAATGGCGTCAACGCGATGATCGATTCTCTTCATCGATTTTCTCTTTACATTGCTACAGCTAAGCGAAACAATTTTCTGGAATTTGTTCAATGTAGTGTTGCAAAAGGTTGTATTGGCTATCAAGTGTAACAGCACCGCACCGAGAAACTAATCCAAACGAGTTATTAACAAAAGAGAAAATTGACGAAGAGAATTGATCATCGCGTTTACGTTCTTATACATGCTTTCAATAATGATGGATTCATCATCGCAGGTTGTTAGTGGAGACCGTATGAACGGAGGATGATATATACCGAGTTGCGGTCCGATGCAAGAAAATGGAGAAAGAAAAATATAGAGTGTATTAGTGAGTGAAATGAATCATGTCGAAAAAAAATAGAAAAAGAGGTTGCCGACTGGATTCGAACGACGAACGTTGCAACCTGTGCTTTTTCCATGCTATGGAATATGGAAAAGCCAAAAGTGAATAAGAAGCTCATACTCGATTTCGTATGTTTTTTTTCTGTTGAACGGGATTTGGAGAGAATCGTGGCAAGTGTGTGCGTCGTTCTACAATGTGACACATAAAATGCTTGCTTAAAGGGTGTTACAATCAAAATTTGGTCTACTTAACTTGGCGCATTTCTTCTAATCGAGCATTTTAAAAAACCTAAACACCTAAACCGCCTTTTTAATATCAGCTGTTGGCTACGACCAGCGCAACCAGAATGACAAATATGTTTTCTACACAGAGAAAAAAAATACCCTAAATTTAAGCTTTTTTAACTTAATTTTTTGTAATTTTGAGTTTTGCATCCCACTCTCACTTTTTGTTGTTGTCAAAAACGGAACGAGAGATTCGACTTTCTCATGACTATCGTTCAATAAGCTACTAGTGAGTATATGAGTTAGTCTATGCTTCATCTGTAGTTTCTTCCCCTCCGGAGCTTTGTTCTTCTTCTTCACAGCTTTCATTCAAGGATTCTTCTTCTTCATCATCGGAACTCTCACCACTATCTGACTCCGATACTTCTTTTACTTTCTTCTTTAGCTTACCGCAATTCATCTTACCCTTCTTCTTCATCAGGACTTCTGGGTGTCCGAAAGGTGTGTTTTTTTCTTTTCGAGCTCTCCTCTTCCTGGTTTCGCCTTTTCCTGATTCACTTTCTTCTGCTTTTTATCCTTCGAA